ATATATATATATATATATATATATATATATATATATATATATATATATATATATATATATATATATATATATATATTCCAATAAAACTCGTAACCCGACCGAGACTTGAGCCCAGAACCGTTTAGCTTATACAAACCCGTCCATAGGTCGGTTCGGGGTTTGAAACCAGCCAAACACGTACCAACTGTCATCCCTACACATGACCCCCTAAATGATGAGTTTTTATGGGGTAATAATTTGCTAAAAACAATCACACAATAGGGTTGTTTTTTTTGTTCGCTAATATTTATAACACTATGAGGTTCTTAACAATTTGAACATAGAGGTGTTAAATGCAATAAACCCTCACAAAAAATTGTAGCATATATAAAATTGATTTTATATTTGTTTATTTTTATTTTATTTTTTGGTTTTTTTGTGGTGTAAATTAAAGGTGGCGTTGGCATCAGGACAAGGATCTTATGTAGATATTGTAAGAAAAGCTCAGCTAGAAATTGAGCTTCCAAATGTGAGGTGTGTTGATGCCAAGGGGCTGCCACTCGAGCCCGACGGTTTGCATCTAAGCGCTGCAGGACAAGTTCAGCTCGGCCGCATGCTGGCTGATGCGTTTCTTCAGATCATGGCCCCTTTACCTGTTTCGAGCAGTGCACCAAAGAGAGCTCGTAACTTTTTTTCTGGACTGTTTAGAATTTAGATGTATATAGTTGAGCCTTAATACATATTTATGTATTTAATGACATGGTTCTTTGTCCAATTAATTAGGGCTCATACTCATATGGTTACATATGCCGGATACATTTTTTATTTATTTTATTTATTTTTAACAAATTTTTCTATTATAAAAACGTTTAATCTTTTTTCTGATTTTTTATTTTTGATAAGTTTACTAGTCGAATATGACTATAGTCCAAGTGACTACCGTCGAATATGACTATACTGTAGTCACATTCTTTCTTTATATTGCCGTTTTTACATTTTTCAACTTAAAAATCAGGATTATACAGTGTAGTACCGTCATATTTACGAAAAAGAAATACAATCAAAATCCACACAAAAAAAATAATGATTTGAATCTTATTATTACAAATCAATTTGTAACCACGCAAATAGATCCGAAAATTCACAACTAAAATAGTCATCAACATCATTGTACATTACAAAAAAAAACATACAAATCTCATATATGGCTATGTACGATTACGTATGACTATATATGACTACATAGTTCATTCTCTCCAATTGGCATGTCGTTTATCCATCTTCTTCAACATCATCGACTTTTTTGGCTGCAACTTAATTTTACACTAGAAAATAGACTAAGAAGAAGAGGAGAAGGAGGAGTAGAGAGAAAATTACTGAACTCAGTGGCAACGGCAGATGACTCAACAAACAACGGCTGCCCCCTCAGAATTGAATCTCCCTGCCCCAACCTTCTCCATCGCCTCCCGCACAATCGTTGCTTCTCTACCACTCGTCGATTTGCACCACTTCTCCAGACACCATCGTCCGCCTCTCATCGCCGACATCACGAGAGATCGAGAGAAGAGAGATAGGGTATGCGACGCTAGGGGCCCATAATTCTCGTCTGTGTTCTCCCTCGTGCATCAGTCCAGCAATGGGTGGTGTATGGGAGCTGACGGGAGGTGGTCTTGGGGAGATTTGACATCGTAGCGAGACGTGATGACGGAACCCTAGGCGGTGACTGTGGTCTGTGGCTGGGCTTAGCAGATTACGGCGATGAAAAAAGGAAGAAGGAGGGCGACGGCGGTGGTTACAAATCTGAGAAAAAAAAAAAACAAAGAGAATTTGTAAGGGGGAGAATGAAAGAGAGATACAGAGAAATAAAAAAAAATGAAAATTGCGTCACGTTAAAAGGTGTGACTGGGGTAGAGTTTGTAAAAAAATGATCGAATAAGGATGTAATAATTTCAAAGGGTCTCACTAATTAAAAGTGAAATTTAAGTGAGAGAAAAAAGTTTTTAATCAATTGGATTTAGTTCAAAATATATTCTAAATGAAGGATACATTGCATATTTCCACTTTAAAGAAATGTATATTTTTGACCATATCCGATCCTATTAAAATTGGAATAAACAATACAAAAGATTATAATATTTGGTAACATTTTCATTTTGTTCTCATTGTTTCCTAAAAACGAATTAATGTTCTTAAACTTCTCAAACAAATCCTCAAAGAAAAATCGGGAAGAAAAAAAAAATAAAAAATTAATACAAGAAACCGGCGGAAAAATCAGGAAGAAGAAAAAAAAGAAAAAAAAAGAAAGTCAACGTTGGAGACCGGCGGTGAGGGACGAAATTGTCTTTAAAAATGTGTGGTCAAAATTGTGAAATTTAGGATCAAATTGAGGTTAGATTAAATTAAATGATGAAATTGGAACATATTAAAGTATGAGGGGCTATTTTAATCTTTTACAAATTTTGAAATCTGGACCATGTGTGATTTTTTTTTTAAAGAAATTTATTGTCTGAATCTCTTTATGAATAAGTACATATTGATGGACTTATTTGTAAAGACTTCTTTCAAAAATTTCTCTTTCATCGGAGCAAGAGTCGGTCGTTTCATTAAAACAAATCTTTTACTAAAAAGAAGAAATATATCTCACTTTAACATTCAAAAAAGGAATCTAAAATATATTTTCTCGGGGTAATTAGACATAATTTGACTACTACGGCGTTTTTCATTCACTTTGTATTTTTTTTCTCAAATTATTCTTTCAAAACATTTTTTTTCCAAAATGAAAAAAAAAATTGTAAGTCTCTATCCGCTTCCAAATAATGCAACTGAGTAGGGATGGATATTAGAACAACTTTTATTAAGTTGATTTCTATGATTCTATCCAAATATTTATGGATTTGGAACAATATTGTTTAATTTTGAATTTAAACACGTCTTATTTCAGACATTTTTAACGAAATCAGAATATAGTATTAGTTTCCAATTTTTTGCACTGCTCTTCATTTCCGAAAAGTCTGATTTTTTCAGAAAGTTACACTTATGTTAGAGTTTATTATAAATTTCACCTATGTGTAATCTTTAATTGACAAATATTCCCTATTAAAAGAAAAAAAAAATTCATATCTAGAGTGGGAATTGGATTGGTTTTTATCCACCAACCAACCGTTACCGACCATATTTTTAGGCGGATAGTAATTTTTAACCGACCCATTAGATCGAGTTGGAAATTTTAACTAACCCATCTACATAATAAGTCGGTTGGTGGTTTCTAATATTATCAAAAGTTAATTGACCAATAATTATTGATCAACAAACTATACTATTCAATATTATTAAAAATTATAAAATAAATGGTGTGTTTTATTAATTACTTTATATTTCTTAATTATATGTTTTTGTCATTGGAATGATAAATGATGATCCTACAGTGGCATTACACAGAATGTGCATATGTTTACTCTATAATTAGAATTTATTTTAAATAAATTAGATGACATATATCATCCATCAACCGTCACATTCTAAAACCGAATATTCGATTGACAACCATCAACCGGTCCACAAATGTTGAGTCGGCAACAACTTTCAAATTTGAGTAAAATTGGTTTATCAAACCAGTGAATGTTTAGGCTAGTAATCAATCGACTCAACTCAATCTCAGCCCAACGCACGAGTCAAGCCATGCGTAAACTTTTAAACTTTTTCTAGGATAGTTCAACATTTTTAATTTTAAGTCACGACTATAGCTAAAAGGACAAAAATGCCCTAGGGGTATAGTATACTATACACCCCAACCCCTGGCCGACTGATTATCTTATTTAATGTTTATATGGAACGTGCAGAGTGAGTCATCAACTTCATTAAAATTTACGTGTCACCACTCACCACCACAAATTAAATTTCCTCCAAATTAAACCAACGAGGCTCCGCCATCTGTCCATTATATAAAACAATATTTATATAGCAAACTATATCTATAAATCTCACGATTTCGCATCTACAATAATTGCATTATATTCAGTCGTCCCACTTCTTACACAAATCAATTAAATCTCAATTCCATGAATACTTCAAAGGTAATGAAATTGAGTACTCCGATTTGATAATTTTCGTGTTTTATTTATACAATATATCAGAGGTGTATAAATCATTTAATTAATTAATTTTTTCATGGTTGCAGGGTACCGAAAGAGTCAACGATGATGGGGCGGTGGAGATAGCTGTGGAGACGGTTGACTACCGAACGCCGCCGGGACTAGATAAAGAGCCCATACCAGAGAAGGTGGAGGTGACTCATGTGATCCACGCCGACGATCACTCCGCCGGAACCGCCGGTGTTGTGGCGGAAGCTGCCGTTAAAGTGGCTGAAAAGATACAGTCTGTGAAGGAAGCTGTCACTGGCGGGGGCAACAAGACCGAATGAATGACTACTTAATTCAATTGGGATGAGTTGCGAGGTAATAGTTTAATTGTACAATTTAATTTTATCGTGTTTCGGGTTCTGCATATGCTACACTCGATGAAATAATCGTAGATTTTGAAAACCATTAATTTATGCATAATAACGCACACATTTATGTGTACATGTATGTTGCTACGTCGGTGGTGTAGCATCTGATAGACCCGTTGTGAGCTGACTTGAGGAATTATTAATGTTTTTACTTTTTATCAAGTCTTGTGGGGCCTTATTTGTTGATCGATTATGTCATTAATTATTATTTATTAATGAATTACTTCCTCCATTTTGTTGTTTAAAATTAAGAAAATTATTAAAATAGTCTTGACTTATTGGGAAGAAGTTCTTACGGACCAAATTAATTATCCCTAATGTGAATATGTGATCTTCATCAACGTGACCGGACTGGCCCGTTCGACCGTGAATCGGTGCCTTGTCCGGTCCAGTTAGCACTATAAATCTGAAAAGTACAAAAAAACAGGTCCAATTGTCAGAAATCGGTTATTTGACCGGTCCGACCAAAACTCGGAAACTGACTAAAAACCAGTTGTCTGGTTGACCCACGCGTTTTTAATTAATTAAAAAAAAAAAAAACAATGTAGTTTTGTACACACAAAAAAAATGAAAAAACAAAAAAGGGAAGTTGAAACGTGGGAGCTTTTTGATTTTCCTTCTATCACAATAAATCAAATGCAATTTGATTTATGCCATAACTAATAGCCTAATACAAATCAACAATTGAACAACTAATAAACAACAGTAGGTTTTAATCTTAAAAAAAATACAAGACTTTATATTGTCTTTTACGTGCATTTACTATTTACTTTAAATATTTGATTTCGATGTGAGACTTATTTTAAATGTTTGTTTTAGAAGTAAAACTTGTTTTTTATTCGTTTTTTTTATCAGTAAGATGTAAGATTATAAATTAAATGTTAATTTTTGATTTATAAGATAGACAGTGATTTATGTTGCATGTTATTTTATTGTTTGTCTATAGTGCTAATTGTAGTTTTATACTTAACTCACACGAATATTTGATATTGGTGATAAACATGTTATTTTTATGTATTTTATTTTTGCATAAATAATACCATATAAATTAAATATAAATAAATAAAAAATAAATATTCAAAAACTCAGTTGGATCCCGGTTGAACCGATTCAACCGTGATCGATAGCTTTGCCGGGTCAATGTCCGGTCCGATTTTTAGAACGTTGATCTTCATCTTCAAATTTTCGCTTCATGAGTTTATCATTAATTTTGGGATATTTCATTAATTTATCATTAATAAGCATGAAACTGGAAAGAAAATAATTAATTAAACTTTGAAACTCTAAAGTGCATGTGTAATATGAAAAATAATTATAATACTAAAGTGATCACAAAAATTCAATTTTGAATTATTTTTTTTTTGCCGTCAAACTTTGGTGTTGACATTTCTCCATCGCCATTGACCGGCTGTTATCGCCAATCTCATACGGCGACACGGCGACGATTTTTTATTTTTTTTTTTGAGTATTTTTTATGCATGCCGCTAATTGTTGACAAATAATAATTAATTTTATTGTGGTTGGCAGAAAAATGACTGCAAACACGTTAACATTATTGTCAATCACATCAATATTATTTATTTTATTTTAATTAATATTATTTTGTTTGTTTTGTTGACCGATCAACGTAATAATATTACTGTCAAGTGTTGTAATATTACCGCGGTTCACAGTCATATTATTTTCGATCTCACTAATATTACTGTGTTTGACAATAATAGTAATTTCGACCGCATATATATTATTATTTTTTTCCCATAAAATATTCTTTTAATCAACAAATTTTGATTACAACTGATTGTGGATTAGTAGGTTGTGGGCCTAGTATATTGACACTATATGAGATGCTACATCCGATCAAAATATATCGGGTGATTTTAATCCGTGAATGGATTTATATAAATAATAATCCACTAAGCATGTATATACATGTGGTATTATATATAGATCTATAACTTATAATCATCCAATTTATAAAACCGAGTCTAGCATCTACAGAACCGTACAATGACTCACGTGCATGGATTTGTTATTATAATAATAAATCATTTTTCTGCTCCAAATAATACAGCGTTGATTTATTTTTTAATGATCAGTTAGGTCAATGTCTAATAAAAAGATTAATGTTCACTTGACAATATTAAAAATATTATATTTGTTAATTCTCCCTTTTTTTTTTGGAAAATACTGCATTTTATTGATTAAATATGAAAATATAAAAAATGCTTAACTCTACTTTGCACCTTATAATATAGCATTTCGGTAACTAATTGCACCCCCAAAAAATTGATAGCTCTTTACATCCTCAAAAGTTGATGATTTTTTTGAGAATACATTTATTATGTAATTTTTCTAAAATAATAGTTGAAGGGTGAAAAAAAAAATTAATATTCTGCACCGAGAAGAGAAATACTTTTGTATGAATTTATTCGTAGAGGGTATTTTCATCTTTGCAATAGTGTATTTTTCTGGTGGCGGATAGTAATATAATTGTTTATTTCCCCTACCATCCAACCATTTTCTCACTAAATTCATTGATATTATAATTTGTTATATAAAAAATATCCACAATTGTTTTTTTTTTTATCAAAGACCTACCAAACAAATAATTTACTAAGATTTTTTATTAAAATATCAACCGGGTGCAATATAAATGATTTATTAACAAAGTGCTGATTTTTTTAGTGCAAAGTACAAAAACTTGTATATATGGTGTTGATCAAGATATAGTAATGTAAGAACGAATATGGTTCACTTGTTTGTCTCCTTACGTATGATTCCGCTCAATGTTTTTAGAACCGGGTTGGGCCGGCTGGTCCGACCGGTCCGACCGTGACCCGTGATAAAAGCTGTCCGATCTGACCCCTAAAACCGGGAAAATCAGAAACCCAATCCAAACATAGAAAATCCGGTTCAACCAGCCAAAATCGGTGAACCCGGAAACCGGTCAACGACCCCGGTTTTCATCTTAAATATTACGTCCGGTGGTTGTTGGTGCGGGGTACGGTTGGAATTTGTTGGGGGTGGCCGGATCTGTGTAGAATAGGCCGAGGTCGGCCGGAAACCGACATATCTGGCCGTGGATTTGCGAATTTCGACGGATTTAGTCCTGTTTTGCCGGAACGTACAAGTTGTGTGTGTTTCTGGATATGAAGAAAGAAAAAAATAAGAAGATTGAAAAGAAGAAAATGAAATTAATAGAAAAGAGAGAGAGAGAGAGAGAGAGAGAGAGAGAGAGAGAGAGAGAGAGAGGGCGGATATGCTCTGGGTTAAGGGAAAAAAAATAATGGGGGGTAAAAGAGGGTGACGGGTGGAAGTGAATTGTGGAGAGAGAAAGAGTGGACTGGTGAAGATAGCTGTAGTGATGAGAAAAGAGGTGGAGAGAGAGGAGATAGGAAAAAATTGAGTATAAAGGTTGACCGGTCAATGACCCAGATATATATAATTTTCATTTTATTAATATTTTAAAATTAATAAAATAATTAAAAAAATTAAAAGATAAAAACTCGGGTTGAAGCCGGTTGAACCGGTCCAACCACTGGCGGAGCTTCTAAGGGGCAGGGGGGGGCGGTTGCCCCCCCAAGAAAAAAAAAAAAAATTTTAGTTATTTTGACCTAATATTTTTTGAATATTACTTTTGACCCCCCCAAAGATTTTGTAAATATGTTTCTTAACCTTTACTTTTTTGTTTATTCTCCATAATTTTATATAAATTATAGATATATATTATATTATAGATATGTGTCGTAATTTTTTTCGCAGTATAAACCTATTTTTTCAATGTCTTGTGAACCTAAATTTTTTTTCGGGGCGCTGCCCCGAACCCTGAAATTTTAGTTAGCCCCCCCTACTTTCTAATCCTGGTTCCGCCCCTGGGTCCAACCGTGACTCGAATGCGTTGCCGGTTTTGTGTCCGGTCCGGTTCTGATAATATTGGTTCCGCTGAAAGAATGCCTAATGATGTGAAGCTTGAACTTGCATTTTGGAATAAGAAAAGAAAAAAAAAATATCATGAGAAACGCCAGATCATTCAATCAAAAGTACGAGTTCAGACAGAAGCAAGCAAGAAGCGCTAGGGTAAAGAAGTAGTTGATGTGGCTTGGTTCGATTGCATAAAATCACGACTAAGTCAATCATGCAACTGGGTCAACGGAGGGTCACGAGACGAGGTTGGAAAGGGGCAAGGGCCGTCATAGGGTAAAAGATGAAAGCCATTAAGACCATATGACAACATGCAATTTTTTTTAACGATCATGAGCAATAAATGTATAATTTAGACTTGATTATGTTATTAGACGGGCTATGGACACTAGTAGCGGGAGATGAATCGCAGTAATCATTGAAAAATGAGCGAACAATATAACAAATGGAAATAATTAGTGTCGGAATGATACGGATCACAATTTAGGATAAGTTCCATATGTAGATTTTCTGAATTAAAGTCAACTTTATTAATTTTCCGAATTTCCTTTTTTTTGTTTGAGCATATTTATTGATGTGCATGATTTATTACTTACTTTGGGAGTGAAATATATATATAAAACATCATAAAAATAAATTAGGGTAATTACAGATGCCCTTGAGGTATGGTCAAATTACGAAAATCTCTCTCTTGTTTGGATAATTACAACCACCCCCTTTATCTATAAATCTTCTTACACGTTCACCCTTGCGTTTCAGATTTAGTGGAATCTTATAAATTTTATAGAATATTATCACCTTTGTACCCGTTTTATTCCATTCAAGCTCCATATGTTGAATCAAGATGATCATAAGATGTGTTTATTGGCTTGAATATATCAGATTTTGGAGCATCAGAAACTGTATTTTTACACAAAATTAGTACAAACTAGAGCACATTCCACGGAATCTAGATGATTATGTTGAATTTGACACTATAAGGGTTGACGTGTAAGAAGATTCATAGTTGAGGGGTACAGATGTAACTATCCAAACAAGAGGGGGGTTTCGTAATTTGACCATTCCTCAGGGGGTCGTCGGTTGTAATTTACCCAATAAATTACTGTAAATAATAAAAAGATAACTGGGCTTAATTTATTAATTTTAGTTGTCAGCCCATCCCCAAACGCAGCCCAGCCACAGCATTATTTCTCCAATACGACGTCGTAACGACTCTCATCAATTCCCACTCTCCCCGTTCTTCTCTTCTCCAAAGCTTCAATCTTCAAAACCATAGATAGCTACCTTCTCTTCCAAATCTCCGCCGTCACCATCGCCGCCGCCGTCACCGCCACCGGAACCGCCGTGGATCATGACGAATAATAGTCAATATTATGGCGCAAGAGAACCTATCGCTGAAAAACTTGGTCTGGATTATCCATTTCCACCCCACCTAGAGTATGTTAATTTCTTCTTTGAGCTATTCATTGTGTGTGTGTGTGTGTGTGTATTTCAAACTGTCGAAATCGATTAGTTATTTGAATTTAATGGGATAATCAAACTCACTGGTTCAATTTCCTGATATTTTATAATAGATATGTATACCCAGCTCCCGATGGACAAATTCTGACCAACATTGTAAATGCTCTTATCGCCGTTCCCCGATTTTATACGCAGGTTATTGCCGCCCTCTTTTTTTTTTCCCTCTCTTTTGCTTTTTCTAAAGAATCAAATTTTATCTGAGCAGTCAAAATTTGTTTCTACATTGATGAATACAGGTTTTGCATTTGATGAACAAAATGAATATTCCAGCACCGTTTCGGAAGGCGCTGCCTACTCCGCCTCTACCAGTATCAGTACTGTTTCCGCCACAACCGCCGTCCTCGGAGACTAATGCCAAAGACGTATCTAGTAGCGAATCGGAAATGGGGTCTTCGGACGAGGTGATTATCTCTAGTCTTTGCAATTATCGAGTGTTTTGGTGTTATGAATTCGTCTTTGTGTGTTAACTGAAATAATCTATGAGGTTAAGCTATAATCAACTCTAGATCTTCGTTACGGCTGTATTATAATATCCAATATCTGCTGTCGGGAGAAAGTTTGCGACTGCTTCATTTGAGTCTAGTGAGATTATGTAGAAATTTGGATTAAACGTTCGTGTGAAATGAGGCTGCGTGTGAAAGTCATTGACCCTTAGGTTCCTGCTTGTGGGGTCAAACCCCCTCGGATTTGGTTTGTGCTACTCTGTGTTGATGAGTTGACTAATATTGCGTCTTGTCCTTGTACTCGCCATACAAGTGTTGACTCGCCTTAATCGAACCCGCACAACTTCGGTCAAATGAATCCACTAACTATTGGTCACGTGGGAGTTTAAAAATCTGCAACCATATACGAAGGCGCCATTGTTCACATGCATGCTGTGTCAAGACCCTATTTGAATTAATAATGCATAAGTTCGGTCAAATTACATCTATTGATATGTTTGTTCGTAGGTAGGTAACAAGACGTCTGCATTGGCATATAAGTTCATCTCTTTGAGCTGTTAACAACATACCTCCATTTGTTCGATAATTGGCTATTTTCAACCTATTGTGCATCACGTCGTGTCATATATTTGCTTGATCTAAAAAATTGCAAATAAAAAGAACATTTCTGATGTTTTTGTGCCACTGATATTTTGTTTTTCAATTTCCGAGTTTCTTTAATTCAGCATTTTGAGGATATATATTCACCGTGTTCAATGACCTTTTTCCACAAGTGTCCGTCTATAAAGATCTTGATGTTGTCATATTGCTCCTTTTAACTTTTTTTTTTTCTGCAATCGCTTCTCAACTATGTAATAACTTATATTGATTAGGACGTTGGAGTAGAGGCTGGACCTAATCGAAAGCGTGTCAAGAGAGAAGCTATTGTAGGCCCTGCTGTCGACAAGGATGTGTCTCACGAGGCTGTTGGGTTGAAACAAGTTACATTAGTTCCAAAAGAAAAGCCTACCATAAAAAAGAAGAACTCCGTTCTGCAGGTCGGTCTTAGCTCATAACCTCTGAAATAAATTTTGAACACTTACCTTTCTTCTGAAATACGAAAAACTTATTGGGTCGTGACCTGCTTGCAGATAAGAATAGCACCTAAGCCAATTCAACATGAACCAAAGGATGACGACGCCACCAAGGAATCGCAAGAGGCAAACCTAGAAACTTCTGAAAACGAACCTTATGCAACTGTGGAGAAACTAAATCGCGGAAAATTGCCTCCGGAGGAAATCTTGTCGCTTCCTAAATTTAAGGTACTAGAATCACAGCCTTCGGGACAACTAAAATGAAAGACCGTTGAAATAATAAAAATAGCCGTCGTCAAGCCCACTAATTATTTATGCATGGATGAATTCTTGACTTCTAAGACTGATAATTGTTTTCTCTCTTAAAAAAACGAAAAACAAAAACAGAATTACACGGCTGGAGATCCTACTTGTGTGTTGTACATCAAGAACTTGGCAAAAGATGTGGTTGTGGATGACTTGTACTTTATATTTGGTGAGTTTCAATCCCATCTCCTTGCAAATTATATTTGAACTCTCGGGCATTTATATTTTATGCTGGCTTCGATTTTATTTTACCAATTACTTAAACTTCGATTCGTCGTAAGGAGTTTATGTTTTAAATTATGTTTCTATCACTTTTTACAGGATCGTTTTTTGGGAGCATCGATGCAGCCAAGTCCAATCTTTCTGTTAAATTAATGCAGGTGATTTGCGTTTTCCCCATTATGTCAATACGACAATAACGTACGTAATAATATGCGCGGAGCTGAAGTGTTGCAACTCCACTTGTTTTAGGAAGGAAGAATGAGGGGCCAAGCTTTTGTTACGTTCCCTACGGTTGAAATTGCTCGTAATGCTTTGGTATATTCTTTTCTAATACAAAAATAAGCGATCAACTCATTCCGTTTTTTAATTTTTGTTTTCCTTTTGCAGTCGTTATAAAATTTGATTTCATGCGCTTGTGAGTCTTGATTATTTTTAGTGTATGAATGACTGCATGCAGAACTTGGGAAACGGTTACGTATTTAAGGGGAAGCCCGTTGTCATACAATTCGGCAGGAGTCCTGCATCTGCTAGACTCAACTAAAGGGAGAAGAAAGAAACATCTAACTGAGTTGATTGTGTTGCAGTAATCTTATGGGATATTATTGCTGTCACTTTGTATAGTCTTTGATATTTGTGTTAGTTATTGTATTTCATACTATATTCAGACTAATAACTGAGGAACCAGTACCTAATTGGTTTTATTTTATTGTATTTACATACAATGTAAATATTTTTAGTGAAATGTTTTTTGGGGTCTGAAAATTGCTGTTTGCAACTCATACCCCAAAAAGCTCTCTCTAAAAAAAGAAAAAAACTCAAAAAATTCAAAAAAATCGAATTGAAGCCAAATCAATCCAAATTCATTGAAATTTTGAGAAATTTTCAACTCCTAAATGTTTTAATTGCATTGGGTAGGAAATTTTGATTGTAATTGCAAGTTAAACAACCCTAAAAATCGAATTTTAGGGTTGTTTTTGGGGGAAAATTGCGCACAGTGAACGCCCCAACCGGGCGTTCACCAGCATTTTTCACGCCCGGTTTGGGCGTGCAAAATACCGATGAACGCCCGGTTTGGGCGTTCGGTTACAGTATGGGCGCCCGGTTTGGGCGTCCGGGTCCGGTTTGGGCGCCCAGTCTGGGCGTTCAGCAAATTTTTTTTTTTTTTTTTTTTTTATTTCAATTTACTTAATTCAATATTTTTTTATCAATTTTACTTATTTAATATCTTTTTTTTATAACGTCAATTTTACTTATTTCAATAATTTTTTTTTATAATTTCAATTTTACTTATATCAATATTTTTTTTATAATTTCAATTTTACTTATTTCAATATTTTTTTTATAATTTCAATGTTACTTATTTTAATATTTTTTTTATATTTCAATTTTACTTATTTAAATATCTTTTTTTCATAATTTCGATTTTACTTATATATATATATATATATATATATATATATATATATTTTTTTTAATTTCAATTTTACTTATTTAAATATCTCTTATATTTGGATTTGTCAATACCATAAAAATACTAAGTTCGACATAATAAAATATTAAGTTCGACATAATAAAGTACTAAGTTTGTCAATTTTACTTATTTCAATAAAGTACTAAGTTCGACATAATAAAGTACTAAATTTGACATAATAAAATACTATAATACATTAAATCCGATAAAACTAAACTAATCAAACACTATTTAGAATATCTCACGCTTGACGTCTACATCGCATTGTGCTGATTTTTCTGAAAAAGGCGTAAAAAAATTAATAAAAAAATAAAAAGCAAAAAAACCGGGGGAGGGGGGGCGAACGCTCAAGCCGGGCGCCGAAAGATGTTTTGCACGCCCGGTTTGGGCGTGGGTTGATGGTTTACACGCCCAACTTGGGCGTGTAAAACAGTTTCGGGCGCCCAGGTTGGGCTTTCGCCCTTTTTGTCCAGATTTTTCGAACGAAATGTCAAAATTTTTATCTCGTTGTGATGTGTATCACGATCTTCATCCGATGAACTCATTTGTGTTTGTATATCACTTCAACAAAGATAATTTTAGGCCAAATTAGTGACGATAATGATTTTTTCTAGAGAGAGAAACAAAAATAAGAATGAGTTGCAAATAGCAATTTTAGGAACCCAAAAAGTAAGTCCCTATTTTTATTAATACTAACCGAATATTTATTGTCGAAAAATCACTGCTACAAAACAAATAATATATATATATATATATATATATATATATATATATATATATATATATATATATATATATATATATATATATATATATATATATATGCAACAGTGGTTTTTCAAAAAGTATATGTCGAAATTTCTCATAATTTTGACACGTATGTATCGAAATTCACTTTTCTTTTATTTTTTTAATATTTTTCAATAAGTTAGTGCCAAATTGAAATATTCGACATGTATGTGTCGAAAACTGTCGACGGGGTTAAAAAAAAAAACTTCAAAATCGCAAAAAACTGTATCTAAAGCCAATTGTTGATACTCAATATCAGTGGATGTTATATGAAATCCAAATACACTGTAAATAAATATTAGCAAAAAAAAAAAAACATATTATATATTATGTAGACAATATCAATAATATCAACAATATTAGCAACTTTACGAACCTGGTTTGACAAGAACCTGGTTTGACGACATTTGGTCAAGCATTGTCCTACATATGCGCACTGAATTTATTTTCAACCACCATGTACTCTCGATTAGCAAACAATATAGAGTGGTCTTTCACAGTAGCAACAAGTCGTTCTTTACTCTTGAAATCACGCTTCTTAAAAACACCTTCATCGGAATCATAAAACTTTGAAAATAGCCCGTTCGGGACACAAAATGAGTCCGCTATAATTTCTTCATAATCCATTGAGTAGAAAGACATTGGCACGTACAAGTAAAGCTGATTTTGGGCCGATGTCACTGATGGCACATTAGGAGGAACTTTATTTTGTAATAAAATGTCATAATTATTGGTAACAGTCAAAAACATTCTCGTCATCAGCATGCTTCCCGTCGACGTTATGGTCATCTTCTTGATCGGATGGTTCTAAGTCAACAGGAGGATCGGCCCCACATAAATCTCCCGGTATGTCTGTAAAATCTCCCGCTGGCTCTCCTGTATTGGTGTGTTAGTCTTCTCTCACTAATTATTCATTAAACAAACAACACAATTATATTATCTTAATAATTATACTAATACCATATTTTACACAATGAATAACATGATATTAATTTTTATAAAGCACTATAAAAATACCTGAAATTAGTATATAACTTGATCTTAAATAGTTCCACTCGCCACTGCTCTTCGGACACAACTTGATCCTTCCATTCAATTGCAATCTAACTCAAAAAAAATAAAAAAGTACAACCTCTTAATTTTCACAAAAAAAAAAATTCGAAAACACACACTATATTCAATTATATTTTATTTTAGCAAAAATGTTCCAACTGAAAAATAAGTTGCAAATCACCTATAATTTTATAAAAATAGATCTATGAAAGAAAAATTACCTACAAATATTCCATTAAGAATAAATGAATAAAAAGCAATTTTATTTATTTCACAGTAAAAAGTAACTATATATATATATATATATATATATATATATATATATATATATATATATATATATATATATATATATATATATATATATATATATATATATATATATATATATATATATATATATATATTAAGCAATTTTATTCCAACTTTGTCTCATTCGTTCTTTAACAGTCAAAAATAATTAAATCATTAACTATATATGTGTCTAATCCCTCTTATCAGTTTTATTTGCTAAAATAGTTAATTAGAACTTAAAATTAAGCAAGCAATGATGCTAAATTGGTTCGTTAGGCCATCTCCAACAGTTGTTTAAAAATTCGGTTGTCTATATCTATAATTTAAGAGACGAACAGTGTTATGCAACACCACTTTTAACATCACACTCCAACAACATTATTTATATTTTACACAATTATCATATTTTATTATTTTACAAAAAAATTAGTTTTGAATTAATTTTAACAATTATAATTTTAATTTCACATACATACATATACCTTGTTTTAGGTTTTTACTCAGAAACTTGTTTGGAATTAAATATATTGCAAAGGATAATTTAATGTTATATATACATATATTAAAAAAAAAAAAAAAAAAAAAAAAACTAAACACTCTTTATTTTATAAATAAAAATCATACATGGAAACATATATGTGAATAATAGCAAAATAATTACTGTATTTAATATATAAAAAATAGCACTGATGGAATTTTTATTATGGTTTATTCTTACACAATTTGTCAATTGTGGTTTTGGTTCTCAAATTTAGATATGCAAAGTTAAAATGTAAAAATTTTTGCCTTTTCTCATTTTGTTGTTGGAGATGTAACTTTTGGTTTAAAATATGTAAAAGATGTAAATTATAGACATACATCATGTTGTTGGAGATGCTCTTACTTCTACCCACGTACTATGCAACTCAACTAAGAAAAAAGAAATAAAAATACCTACAACTTTATAATTATCTTGTGTTTTCCAAATCTAAAAACATGTATATGATTGTAAAATATATATTGGATCATAGTAATTTCTATTCATATTCATATTCATTTATTGTTTTGTGTAATTTTCAACCAGATCCAGATCCGTTCAATTTCCACCTCTACAAGGTGACCAATGTCCAATAACATAATATAACTAGGTCTTGTTTGGTTGGGAAGACTAACCATTATTAATTAAATAATTGGACTTTGTTTGATGTTTGGTATTCGCAATAACTTATCAGGTCGACCCACAAATATTATGTTATTATGATTCAGCCTCTCTTTTAGGAAGGGTTTTTTTAGACGTCCCGGATCCGATAAAATAATTGGATTTTCATTAAATTATTTAATCTTATCTTGATTAATCTTATCATTGCAACCAAGCGAGACTCTATTATAAAATAGGTGTAACGACCGAGCTAATAGTTAGTAGGAGAAGAAGACTTTGGTCTATTCACTTGTATATTATTCATTCTTCTAGCGTAAGCCGGTTTGAACTCTCTTTTTTTCCCTCGATTCCTTAACTTCAGAAAAACACGGTGCAAAATGATACTGATGAAATACAACGTTTAGTTTTACACATTCAATTTACACACATACATACATGTGGATGTCAGTAAAAATATGTATAGATTTTTATACACGCTATGGTAGGATATAACCCGGTAAAATTCACTGGTGTACCATAAAACAAACCATCCACAATCACCTACTCATAAAAGGTGTTTCGTAAGACGTCTCATTAACGCTTTCCTCAATTTAAGTAAGAAATATTACCTCTAACAATGGAGTAAACAAAATTAATCGAAAAGTAAGTATAGGGGGGGCCAAGCAAGAAAATAAATTAGCACTCCAATCATTCTCATGTCTCACAATATAAACAAACATGCAAACCCGGTCCACTTTCTATCTACCACATTTAAAAAAAAAAAGAAAAAAAAAAAAAAACGGTGTCACCATTCGATGCTGAATCTACTAACGCCAATTCTAACACAAAAACAAAAACAAAATAATCGTCACTCGTAAAATATTAGCTGTCCGTGACTAATCATATAGCCTTGCTTCGATATCAACATCAAGAGAAAAAAAAAAAAAAAGAAAAAAAAAAAAAACATCTCCAAGAAAAAATTCAGCCACTTCCACGTTTAAAATGCTCTCGAATGAATTTTTCTGCGTAAGGAGGGTATTTACTTCGTATGTATGCTCTTAGGCACTTTTGGTAAGAGAAGTCTATCCATCCGCCATCGGTTCTAACGACAAATAGGCACCTCGAATGTCTGAATTGTGGATGACGATCGACCTTCACAGAGTGAGTGACACGTTTTAAATTTAATAAATAAATAAATAATAATAAAAACTTTGCCTCATAAATAGACACCTTTTAAACTTTGTATCAATAATATTTATATACTGTAGAACCTCGATAAATTAATAACCTCGCTTAAATAATAGTTTCTTCTGGTCACGACTCGGTAAAAACCTACTGAATTATTAGTTCGATGATTTAATATTTTCGCTAAATTAATAGAATTTTGCTACTCCTGACTGTATGTTGCAACAATTATTATGTCTATTCATAGCAATGAAATAGTGCAATGCTATATACGTTATATATAGATGATCGAAGAGTATAATAAAATTTAAAAACCAAATGAGAGAGGTCAAAGTCAAAGAGCATTACTATAGCTGAATAGTCAGTTTTCTACTAGTTCTTCATTGAAGACAACATGGATAATTGAAAATATCGACGCGCAGTTGACCACGATTGAGTTAAGACTTTTTTTTCGTGCCGACCACTGATCTTAACCGATTTTAACCGAAAACATGATTAATTAGAATACAGTTAAACCTCTATCAATTAATACAGTCGGGATCAGCAAAATTCTATTAATTTAGCGAAATATTAAATTATCGGACTACAAATTTGGTATGTTTTTACCGAGTCGGGATCGGGATAAATTATTATTTAAGGGAGGTTATTAATTTATCGAGTACTAATTGATCGAGGTTCTACTATAATTAGGTTAATGCAATAACTTCTATTGGACCTACCCTAGTCGAATTATACAATTGGGTTCTCATAAAATTGCATAATCTTATATTGGCTAATCTTATCTTGGAAACCAAACGAGGCCCAAAAGGAGAACATTTATGTACGACATTTGATCTAGTGGTTCACATATGACACCCGATACAGAAATTGCTTACTATTGCACATATAATTGAACACTTCCACAAGCATATTCTCTTATCTATCACTAAAATTGCCAAAAGAAAAAAAAAAAAAAAAAAAGAGAGACTGACCATAATGGAATCAAGACCGCAACCGATCTTGTCTTGGGAATGAGGATGATGTGCAAGAAGCTTATCTACCACGGCTTTCTCGTCTTCTGGTGTAAGACGTTCTCCATCCAGATATCTGCCACAAAGATTCCATAAATTATTTAAGTTACGATTTTGATATTGAAAAAAAAATTGTTTCTTGAAAATGGTGAATCATCACAAGAAACGGAAAAATATTCGAGGCTCCCAAGTCTGGTTACTTCAATAGTCAAGAATTCAAAATTCTAAAAATTGTTAATTAATCTTAGAAATAAGTATGAGAGCCATGTAGCTATAAAGCCGAGCAACAAAAATCATAGGCTACGATGCACAGACAAAAAGACGAACTTTTTCCATTTACCAAAAAAGAAAAAAGAAAACAAGTCTTGAAAAGGAATAAAACGTGATCCGTGAAGGAAAACCAAACTAGTGTCTAGTTACTTCTAGATTGTCGATTCGATAATCCATGAAGGGGCTAAACCAAACATTCCCTTATATTTACGGAAATGAACTTAGTATCAAGTTTTGTTCATAATATCTAACATGCCAAGAATCTTTGTCTCCCCCCTAATAGATCAATATAAGCTTTTTTTTTGCAACTCTTTTTCAGGAAACGGGCATCGGTTTTTTGAGAAAACAACTGTGAAGATATGTTGCCCTCCCAAAAATCCCCGACTAATCTCCACTGATATACAGAAGTCATTATTATAATTGAAAACGTTGAAGGCCAAGTTCGTACAGCACAACTGAACTACTAGAGAAGATGATATACAGACCCCATGAATATTCATATACGTTTAGTGGTAAGCAAAATTCGACGTGCTACGTAACGAAATCTTCAGGATATTCCAATCGCAAACACTAAAAAGCAAGGCAAATAACAGCTCGACAGTGTCCCTAAAATCCATCACGTTTTGCAGCACACACTTCGTTCTTTGAATTAGAACGGAAGTCGATCCAGGTTTATAGAGAAAAAAATGGAACCTGAAGTTGAAGAATAGCTTGCCGATAATAACATAAATAAATAAAAAATTCGAATGCAGAATGTATAGACAAATTGTGATGCATATTAATTATTAAAAAACCTATCTTAATCAAATCCTATCGCTTCTGTTTCATTACCCTAAACCAACCATTTAAGCGACACTTCTTGATCAAAGTGCTACTACATTATCTCCAATACCAAACAAGTTATACACCAATTAATTAACTCAAATAAACTATTATTCACCAATTAAAGATTATCTTATAATCAATCACCGGCGACAAACCGAACAATTACCCCATCATTAACACAAGAAATACAGTAGAACCTCAATAAATTAATATCTTCGCTTAAATAATACTTCCTTCTGAACCCACTAAATTATTAGTTTGATAATTTAATATTTCGTTAAATTAATAAGATTTTGCTAGTCCCGACTCTATTAATTTATAGAGATTTAAATGTAGAAAGAGAAAAAAACAAATAAAAATTAAAAGTGGGAATACCTATCAGAGTGGAGTATATCTTTGGTGAGGCAAATAATAGGTTCAATATCTTCGAGTATTTTGGATTCTTTGTCTTGCCATTTCCGGTAATCCGGGTCGTCCCATCTCGGATACTGCCGGAGGTCTTTACCGGTTTTGGGGGAAAATATTTGACTGAGTGACGGCGGGCTTTCGCCGTCGGCCACTGATGAATCCGCGGCGGCGCTGCAGAAAGGCCGGCGATCTGTTGAACCATTGTAGAGACGGAGATGGCTGTGGTGTTGGACTAGACGGAGGCGGAGGAGAGGCAGAGCTCTGAGGAGTAGCGGGGCAGCCATTGATTCTGAAACGGTTCTACCTTTTTTTTTCCGAGTGTTGCTAAAAAGATTTTTTTTCTTTTTTGTATTTTACTCCTTTATTTTTGGTGTAATTGCACTTTTGGGGTATTTATTAATTGTTATTGTTTTATCATAATATCTTGTTTATTTTTCCTTATCAATTAATACCAGTGTTCTAAACTTGGTCGACGCGGCCGATTAATCGGTCTTTTTAGGGGAGGTGCAAGCGGTCCCAAACCTTACGATTTTGGTGTAAAAGTTAAAAAAAACGGATTTTGCATGAAGAGATTTTAGGCGGTCTGAGGCGGTCTAAGGCTGTCAAACTTTGGCCGCAAAAAATAGGTCAAAAATCGATTTTTTTTTCTTTTTTTTTTAACTACTTTGGTACTTTTTTAATTCAAAATAAAAGTTGAGATTTTTACTAAAAATATGAATTTATGCTTTATTTTGTTTATATTAACTGCTATTGTTAAAGAACTTTATGATATTTGCTTCACATGTTCAAGAATAAATTTAAATTAAAAAAAAATACCTTTTAATTTATATTTTATAAGGGTTTTTTTTTTATTGTTTTATGATCTTATTATTTTTAAACTTTTATTATGTTATTAAGATATATACGTGATGGAGATATAATTATGTTTAAATATTTCTTTTTATATATATTTTGAGTATTTATAAATAATATCTAAAAATATATTATATTAAATTTTGAAAACCGATTTATTTTTGATTTATTGCCGATTAATCACCGCCACAATGATTAATCGTGAGTCGGTTCCTACCCACCTCCAACCCCATTTCCGCTTTTTACAATTTTGATTAATATACGTTTTGGATTTAATGATAAAATTATTGATTAGATAAATATCTAATTGTAGAAGAAGATTTCACCAATGATCAAACAACAAACTTTTGTGATTTTGAGTTTCATTATGCTCATTTTTCTAAAAATTAGTGGCATCTTACATTTTCGACTGAGTAATCATGTGTCGACTAATCTAACCTACTTCATCCACCATAACCAAGAAGAGATAATATATGACTTTTTAGCCCTCTCGGGCATGGCTCAGCGGCGTATGAATGGTTGAAATAGGAGTATCGTGGTTTCGAACTCACTCAACGTTGTTGATGAAATGATTTATCATGGGAGACAAGGGTCAATTGACCGTGAATGCTAGCTTCAATGTGCGTATAGACTGTGATCACATCCGAATTTACCTAGTAGACGAATATGTTGTCTACTCTTACAATTAATCGAGCAAAGCTCTTCCAAAAAAATATGAACTATTATATGTCTAAATCACTTTAGAGCAAAAATGGTGTCCCTTTTTTCTTTCCCAAAACGTTAGATGCCCTCATGTCTACATGATTTTAATAATTACTAACCCGTCTTAGATACAAACTTTGCATAAGAGCCCTTAGATTTTCGGGACATTGGGTTCTCATCAATTTTTTGCATGGTAACTTGACATTCTCGTTTTTGCTTCGTCCATTGCGGCTCTTCTCTGGGTGTTTTTTAAGAAATGAGAAAAACAATTGGTCAAAATCAAGACATAAAATATAAGATGAAAAAAATATAACTTCTAAAGGTAACAAATCGCAAAAAATAGAAAATATGGGTCGAGCGACTTATAGTCATAGACAAGAAAAACAAACTTCCCCCACGGGCATCTAGTGGCAAAGCATGAGGAGGATAAACTAGAATATCGTGGGATTGAACCCACTAAACAGTAAGCATCTTGGAAGACATTTTTTAGTATACGATAAAGACAGGAGGAAGATCGTATACTCGTAGAATTAGTCCAACAGAACTCGAACACAAGGTTACAAAACAAAAAAGAAAATAAAAAATGATGACATATAGCACAAGTAAGAAAACTTCTTTAAAAAATTGAGAGATGATGAAGTGTGTTGATTTGGCCGTGCCACCCATGCCTTATTTTATCATAACAAAATCCAAAGAGGTTATTTGAATGGATAATCAATATAATATCATAATTGAGTCAAAATCTAATCCTCAAAAAAAAAAAAAAAAAAAAAAAAAAAAAAAAAAGCAAAAATGGCATCTCAATTAACCCAAAAAACAAACCCCTTTTTTCATTAAAATCTGAATTAAAAATCCCCCATTTTTATAATTAGTCGATAAACAAATCGCACCGCTAATGGGGCAGTCACCTTCCACCTTGAGGCCCAGATCCTCCAAATCCGCCGCCGCCGCCGCGATCTCCCCGCCGGAGCCACCGTGTTCCGAAACCCCCGACGCCGCCGTCTCGGACGAATCCACCGCCGGAAGCGACGACGACTACACCTCGAATCTCCCCGACGAGTGCCTCGCCTCCATATTCGACTCCCTCTCCTCCGGCGACAGAAAGCGCTCCTCTCTCGTCTGCCGCCGCTGGCTCAGAGTGGAGGGCCAGAGCCGCGACCGCCTCTCCCTCAATTCCAAGTCGGAGCTCGCCGATTTCCTCCCCCGCCTACTCCTCCGCTTCGATTCCGTCACCAAGCTCTCCCTAAAATGCGACCGCCGCTCCATCAGCATCGCCGACGACGCCCTGATTCTCATCTCCCTCAGCTGCAGAAACCTCGCCGGACTGAAGCTCCGCTCCTGCCGCGAGCTCACCGACAACGGAATATCCCTTTTCTCCCAAAACTGCAGCACCCTGCAAAAATTCTCGTGTGAATCGTGCAGCTTCGGCCCAAAAGGAATGAATTTGTTCCTCCAAAACTGCCCTCTGCTCGAAGAATTCTCCTTAAAACGCCTACGTGGCAGCCCCGGTGGGGGCTACGCCGAACCCGTCAACCCCGGTAAAGCCGCCGCCTCTTTGAAAGTAATCTGCTTGAAAAATCTCTACAACGGCCAATGCTTCGCCCCGTTGATCATCGGGGCGAGTAATTTAAAAAGATTGAAGCTTTCTAGGTGTACCGGTGATTGGGACAAGGTTCTTGAAATGGCTTCCGTTAGGGTTAATGGGCTTATGGAGGTTCATCTCGAGAAGCTCCAGGTCAGCGATTTAGGGCTGTTGTCCGTTTCGAACTTTGCGAATCTTGAAATTCTCCATTTAGTGAAAACACCCCGTTGCACGAATGTAGGGCTCGTTTCGGTCGCCGAAAAATGTAGGCTTTTGAGGAAGCTTCGTATAGACGGATGGAAAACTAATAGGATCGGTGACGACGGGATCATTTCCGTTGCGAATCATTGTGCGAATCTTCAAGAATTGGTTTTGATCGGTGTGAATCCGACGTGTTTGAGTTTGGACAAATTGGGGGCAAATTGCCCTAATTTGGAAAGATTAGCCCTTTGTGGGAGCGAATCGGTCGGTGATGCGGAGATATCTAGTGTGGCCGCAAAATGTGTTGCGTTTGAAGAAGTTGTGTATAAAGAGTTGTCCCGTTTCGGACAATGGTATGGAAGCGGTTGCTAGGGGTTGCCCTAATTTGGTGAAGATTAAGGTTAAGAAGTGTAGGGGGGTGACTAATGTAGGAGCCGATTGGTTGAAGGGGAGGAGGGGTTCTCTTGATTTGGATTTGGATAATGTTGAGCATGAGCAATTGGTGGATACGAGTCTTGACGAGCAAGAAAGTCGTGGTGGTGATTTTTCGTCATTTAATTTAAGGTGTAGGTCAAGGTCGTTTAAGACGAGGTTAGGGTCTTTTTCGGGGACTTTGAGAAGGTGGTCGTGTTTCGGGGGTGGGTCCCGAAATAATTTGGGAAGGAATTAATCGAGACGAGTGATTGATTTAAGGGTTGTAGATGTGTTTTTGTGGTTGATGTTTTGATGGTATGTTGATATGTTGGTGAGTTTGTGAAGTGAAATTATGTAATGGTGTGGAGTTGTTGCTATATCATGTGCCGGATTTAAAAAAAAAATTTAAACGAGATTCTTGTTCAAAATACCGTTCGAGAGCTTAACTCGTTGCTTTCGGCCAAAGCACGCACCACGTTTCACAAACAATTTCAGATTGCGCTATACTAATCGGGCTCTTGTTCGAGAGCTATAAGTGTTGGAATAAATTCCTGTTCTAAAGTTTGATTGTTCAATAAGATCTATAATTATTATTTTTAAATGAAGTCCGGAAGTATTGGTTGGCGCTTCAAATTCTGCCTTAGAAACGCTAATTTTGCAGTTCACCACTTTGCTCAATGGGCATTTTCTTGTAACTTTTGAATCGTGTTGTTCATGTTAATGTTCTTCGTCTTGATTTTGTGACGGAGTTTCCGGATTGTAGACGCTTTTTATCCGGTTTTTAAATTAATTATCCTTAATTATCAAAATAAAAACAAAAATGAGAGCTTACTTGGGCGCAATAGTTTTCAAATTGTGCATGCGGCATGCCACAATCCATGCTTTGCTTTTAGACAACTGATTTTTTATTTTATAATAGTCAAGTGATTTAAACAATCTAAAAATAAATAAATAAATCTATTAGGGTGTCAAAAAAACTATGGGAAAAATACAGTTTTGATCCCTCAAGTTTGCGCCAATGTCACATTTAGCCTTCTATATTTATGAAAAAACACATTTGGTCCCTCATATTTCAAAAATTCAACACTTTTAGCTATTTTCGTCAATTTTCCGTTAGTAGTGACGGAATCAATCGTTTGCCCATCACTGCCTTAACTGACGGAGTAACGGTAAATTGACGAAAAAGACCAAAAGTCTTAAATTGCTGAAACATAACGGACCAAATTTGTTTTTTTAACATGGAGGACCAAATGTGGAATTAGTGTAAACGTGAGGGGTAAAAACTGTAATTTTCCCAAAAACTCCTTTTTTGATAGAAAGGAAATTTTATTCGGCTAAATTAGCCAAATTTAGAGGAAGGAACTGACCCTCCGAGTTTGCGAGCTCAATAGAGTTTGCTAATGCATGAGCTAAATTATTACAAGTGCGAGGAACAAAAGAAAATTGACATGAAATGAACGATGAAATAAGAGCCTGAATGTCCTCTAGATATGCTCCAAACGGGCATAAACTAGCGTCTTCATCCCTAAGAGCCGTAATGAGTTGCTGACAATCCTCTTCGAGGATAATCGAGTTCCAACATTTAGCCTTCGCCA